CGCCACTGCTTTACTAGAATGGCATCCAAAAGGCACTTGAATATGCATATGGGAATATTTTGGAATGGGGTTTTGGTTAGAAGGATGTGGAAAGAGGCTGACCCCTTTCAAAGAGAATCAAAGAGAGAGATCAGAAACCTAGTCCATCTGCTCATACTAGTAATGCTTAATCTCAGATCGTTCTCTTCATACCTTTTACTACACATGGTAGGCACACAATCGCAATACAATATAAACTTCCGTGGGGTCACCTTTTTCCCTAAAAGCAAGACTACCTCCCACTACATATACACATGCATGCGTGCGCCCGCACACACACACACACACACACACACACACACACACACACACACACAGTACATAGTAGGCAGAGGCCACTGACCTTAAAACTTAGTCCAAAAGTAGAACAAATACTTGATCGGGTTTACTTTGAACTGGATAATTTCCAAGGTCCCATCCAACTCTGAAATTCTGTGGTCCTTAGTACAAGGTAAAGCCTCCATAGGAATGCCCTCTCAATAACGAGGGAGCCAATGGCCATTAGAAAGAATTAATGCTATCTAAAATCTTTCTAGTTTATTTTCCTGATTACACCAACAGGACTTTGCTTGGCATTTTTCCTCCATTTCCAAAGGCCTTGCCCCCTATTTTACTCTGGCTATATCCCTTCTCCCTCCTCTTCTGCCACCTCCTCAACTCAATGGTCTATCGATTCCTTTCCCTTCTGCCCCCTACTCCTCTTTCTCTTCCTTCCGCCTGTCTGCCTTCTACCCCCCCAACCCCTATCCCCAATCCAACATATTCCAATACATACACTTATGTGCCTGCTGATTGGTATCTGTTAATTAATGTAGCCTGAGGCCTCTCTCCCCTTCAGTGGCCTGATAAGGAAAATTGGATGTCCATCCCTAGATTCTCCATTATTGCCTCCCACCTCCCCTGGCAACTATAGGCATGCACACATCTTCTCACACTAACGGCATTGTGATAAATACATAATCACCTGCCCCTCTCCTTGCTACTGCATCTTTGGCTGAGATAACACATATATCAAAACCCAAAGCATGGCCAGTCAATATAGCAATCATCAGCTCTTTTGTTAATTGCTGACTTGATAACAAGGAACATCAAAGGATCATTGAAGACTTGGGCTCCATAGACCCAGCTGCAGGCACAAGGATGCTCAGACAAGGAGGATGCTGGGGAGTCTGTATAATTCACTCCTTGAGTATGAGTCTCTGCTATAAGGTGCTCTGAACAAGCTTGAGCAAAGGAATGCTAGGAAGCAATGTGGTATGGTGGAAAGAGTATTGAAATCAGAAGTCCCAGGATTGACTCCTATGTGACCCAAAGTAATCAATCTATCAAGTTAATTAACTTCTAAGGGCCTCAGTTTCCTCATCTGTCAAGTGAAGGCAATTGAACTAAATGGCCTCTAAGATCTTTCTAGCTCCAACATTCTGTGATTCCCTTTTGGGGAAAAGGAAAAATACATTTATAGAAAGAATCCATTTATAGAAGAGGACTAGTGGCAGGCCAGGGTAGAGGGCATGGGAGGTATAGGATAAAAATAGATGAGGGGAAGAGCCAAAGACACTTGAAAAGAAAAAGTCTGCAAATACCCCTGTAAAGTCCACAATTTAATTTCCCTAGAAGCAATTAAAGGACACATAAGGTCTCTTTGTATCTAATCAGCATTTGCTGGAGCCAGTGCTTTGGGGCACTTAGGTAGTACAGTGGATAGACCACTGACCCTGGAGTGGAGAAGACCTGAGACACTTATTAAATGTATGACTCTGGGCAAGCTGTTTAACCTCGATCGGCTTAGTTTTCTTATCTGTAAAATGGAGATCCTAATAGGGTTTATGTGAGTATCAAAAAAGAAAATATTTGTAAAATGATTTCAAATATTTGTAAAACACTATAGAAATGCTGACTATTATTATTATTGGTGCATGGGAGAGGTAGGAGTTGGCAGGAGAAAGAAATAGTGTGGATTATCTAAGACAATCCATGGATCACCAAAGAATACCAACATCAGCTATATTTGGTTTTGACCAATGTTTTATGAAATCTTTTGGCCCCAGACTTTCTCTTCCTAATTTTATCTTGTCGAGGTTAATATTCAAAGGAGTCTGCATCCTCTGAGTACACTGTGACTGAAAGAAAACTCACAGCACGGGGATGAGGGTCTGAGGGTAGCAATCTAGAAGTCTCTGGGTCATGGGAGAAACTAGCCTGAGATTTAACCTGGTTAGTAGACTGATGATGGAATGATGCATGGAATCATAGAATTATAGAATAGATTTATAGAATCACATAATTATAACATAAGATGCATATTCAGGCCAAATTGAAAATATCATATTCATTGTACACACCCAAACATAGAAGCAGAAGAGTGTCAAATGCTGAAAGGAACTTTGGTGGTAATCTGCTCCTACCTGGTCATGTTCTAGATAAGAAACTGAAAACCTGAGAAATGAAGTGACGTATCAAGATCATATAACAAGGGTGTGGCAAAGTCAGGCAATTCAATTCAATTCAACAAACAGTTCTCAAGCGTTATCCATGTGCCGAAAGAACACCTCTCCCAGAGTAGACCAAAACCCAGTTCTCCTTTATTCCTAGTTTAGAGTAGCACCAGGTAGATATGTGGTGCAATGGATAGAGCACTAGGCCTGGGGTCAGGAAAATTCACCTTAAAGAGTTCAAATCCAGCCTCAGACACTTACTAGCTGTGTCACCTTGGCAAGTCACTTAGCTCTGTTGGCCTCAGTTTCCTCATCTGTAAAATGAGCTGAAGAAGGAAGTGGCAAACCATTCCAGTATCTTTGCCAGGAAACCCCAAATGGGGTCATGAAGAGTCAGAAACAAAGAAAAATGATTGAAAGAGACAGTAGCACCAGCATTTATATTCAGGAGAATTCTGCCTTTTCTTCCCAAAGTGTAAGACTTAATCACTCTGCCATTCCTTAACTACCTGAAAAACTTTCTCCTTTTTTTGTCACTTTTCATTTGGCCAAGAACCCATAGCCTCAACTTCAAAAATCAATCAACCAATCAATTAGTCATATGCCGGACACTGTGCTAGGTGATGGGAATATAAAGACAAAAATGGAAAAGGACCCTCCCTCAAGGACCTTACATTCTTTTGATAGAGACAACACATATGTAAACCTCTCTCTGACTCAGTTTCCTCATCTGTAAAATGAGAATAATAATAGAACCTACCTCACAGAATTGCTATGAATAGAAATTGACATATTTGTGAAGTGCTTTATAAACTGTAAAGTGGTATATTCATGCTATTGTTATTATTATTATTTAAGTATATATGGAATAAATGCAAAAAAAAACACAAGATAGTCTGGAAAGAAATCTTCTTGAGGATGGATTAGAGAGAGGAGAGGCTTGAGGTAGGAAGACAAATTAGGAAGCTATTGCAATGAACCAGAAGAAAGGTGATGGGAATCTGGCCTAGGATAGCATATGTGAGTGGAGATGGATGGATGGATGGATGGGAGAGATGTTATGAGGGTAGAATCGACAAGACTTGACAGCTGATGAGATATGGTAGGAGGGATGAAGGAAAGGGAAGAATGGACGATAGCACCAAGGTTTCAAGCCTGAGTCACTAGAAGAATGGTGGCACCACTAACAGAAATCTAGGAAGGAGGTAAGTGTTTTTAATTGAGGAAAGGAGGGGTGTGTTTGTTTTAGACCAGCCAAGTTTAATTTTAAGGGAATTTTCAGCTGTCAATCTAAAATAATCTTGACCCCCTCAGTATTACAGGAATGGCTTGAAAGAAAAAAAAAAAACAGATGTACAAGTTCTTCATAAAGCCAGATCTAGATCATAGATATAGAGTGGAAGGAAGGGACCTTAGAGGCCATCTTATCCAAACTCTCTCATTTTGCAGAGAAGGGAAACAGAGGCCTGGGGAGGTTAAGTAACTTGCCCACAGTCACACAGATACTAAGTGACAGAGAGTATTTGAACTCAGGTCCCATGGTTGAAAGTTCAATACTTTTCCTCTTGCATCATGCTATTCATTCAACACAAATGAAATTCCACAGAGAAGCCTAAGAACTGAGTCAGAACAGAAGATCTAAGCACTGCTTCAGTGCCTTCAGACAAGTCTAGAAATGAAGGAACAAGGAACAAGAAGGAGCAATGCAGTCATTTAAAACCTCCAACTCTGTCCATTTACTCTTGAATGCCCTCTACCCAACATATTCCCATGATGCTAGACAATCACATGCCACTTAGAAATGTTCTTCCAGTGGTGATGTAACATCATCAGTAGGAGCTGAGATTAAGAACAGGGTAGAGATGGGTCTTAGACTGAAGGATTTTGAACTGGAAGAGACCCTTAAAAATCATTTAGTTCAACCTCTTTGTTTTATAGTATAAAGAAATGGAGGCCCAACAACGTTATGACTTGCCCAAGGTTAATAAGTGCAAAAAAAGATTTGAACTCCGAGACTCTTTGATTGCAAATCTAGTGTATTTGTTACTATATCTTAATTCTTATCATCCCCATTTTGCAGATGGGGAAACTGAGGAGGCTAAGTGACCAACAGCCACAAAGTGGCAGAGTTGACATTTAAACTCAGATTTCCTTAATCATACAGATTCATACAAAATCTTGAAGGTAGAAGGGGCCACAGTGACCCTCTGGCCCCTTCTGTCCCTGAACAAGAATCTCTTCTAAAAATAACCAATGAGAAAGGACCTTCCTCCCAAGTCAGCCCATTCCACTTTTGGATAGCTCTAATTGTTTGAACATTTTTTTCCTTAAATCAAGTCTAATTTGCCTCTTTGCAATTTCTGTCCATTCATTACTCCTGATTTTTCCCTATGTACAGTATTATTGCTTTTCACACCACGGTAGGCTGTTTGGTAGCTGGCTGGCACCATCCTCCCGTTTACCTTCCTAGAAAAGCATTAACTACTCTAGAGACCACCAGGCAAATGCTTCTCTTCCTTACCTTAGTTTGACCAGGCTCTTGTGTTTTGGCTTTCTTGCTCTTCTAAACCAGGGTTCTCAAACCTCTCCCTGGGAGACCAGATGAGCCTGCTGCAGAGTGCCTGGATGGAGATCCTCATCCTGGGCATTGTGTACCGCTCCTTACCTTATGATGACAAATTGGTGTACGCCGAAGACTACATCATGGATGAGGAGCACTCCCGCCTCACGGGACTGCTAGAGCTCTACTTGGCCATCCTGCAGTTGGTACGCAGGTACAAGAAGCTCAAGGTAGAGAAAGAAGAGTTTGTGACCCTCAAGGCCCTCGCCCTCGCCAACTCAGGTAATGGTCCATGCTACATTTGCATAAGCCAGGGAGACCCTTGGGGCAGGGGAAACTGGAGGAGATGGACAACAGCATCAGCTTAGATTCTAGAACAGAGCTCTTGGGTCCTGTAATCTTGAGTTCTTGAGTGAACTAGACAGTCTAGGCTATCAACAATGACTGAAGTCAAGTCTTCTCCTTCTCAGAGGAGAAGAAGGAGTGAAATTAACCAGCTAGGGCTGTGGAGACAATAGTAGGATGCAGTCAACTTTCTATGATTTCAAATAAGGGGAAGGGATTAAAATAATAATTATCATGGCTTCTTTTTCTAGTATTTGATAATTTAAAAAGTATCTTTCTCCCAACAACCCTGTGAGGTAAATATCATAAACATTATTATTATTATCCTCATTTTACATATAAGGAAAAAGAGGCTTAGGAAGATGGACTGATTTTTTCTCATGGTCACATAGCTATAGTAAGAGGCAGACCCAGACTAGAACCCAGACCTTCTGGCACCTAGTTTAGAAAATGCTATCCATATTACACTATGTATCAGAATACACGATGACTTTTTGATAGGAGGTAGATTTAACATCCTAATTATTTCACTTAGTGTAGCATTAAAACAACTTTACATTTCATTTCCTGAATACTCAAGCAGAAAGCTATACAATAGAAAGTGGGTAGAGGAATGATGTAGTCGCCAGGAGGGTACTGGGGAGTGTGGGCAAGTCAACTTGCAATTAAAAAGATACAGATCACATCATCTGAGTTTAAAGGAGGTCTCAGAGCACACCTCCTCTAACTCATACCTGGATAGGGAGCCTTTCTACAATATCCTCCCTGACCTCTCTAAAACTTTTAATACCATTGACCAAACTTTACTCCTTGATCAACTCTATCCTCCTGACTTCTGTGATACTGCCTCTTTCTGCTTTGCTTACCTATCTAAATACTCTTTTTGATCTCTTTTCATCTCTTAGTTTCTTTTCTTAAATTTTCAACAAGAGGTTCTATTCCATCATTCAGTTCCATGCCTTTCCTTGAGGGCCATGAATTAACAAAGAACTCTACCTCCAGAGATGACCAGTTGTCATTCTTAGCTTCTATTTCATAAATATCTGATGCAAACATAGACACATTAGGAGTCTGACTTTAGTGGGAAGAAACAAATCAAGTGGAAAAGGCCATCTTCTAACAGAAATAGCCTTCAGATTGTACCCTAGCCCAACATTGGATTCATATGTTTTTTCTACTCTCTCAATAGTTCTGATATGAAGTAGAATGTGAGACTACTAGATTAATTTCTGTGAGAACAGAGATCATGTATGCTTTAAACTTTGTATCTCCCCCAAGGTCTAGTCTAGTGCTCTGTATATAATTACATATTTAATAATGTTTGCTGAATGAAGGAATAAAGAAATTAAAGTGCAATGGAGGAGGCTTAAAGTGTTATTCATGTTATGTAATCTTAACGGGCCCTCACTGTTGCATGGCAATTGTTTTGTTGTTCCATCACAATCCCTACAGTAGCTTTTACAAACTTCTTTCTTCAAGCTCCCTGCATCTTCCACAGTTCCCTCTCTTTCATCAGATGTTTTTATCAACCATTTTACTGAGAAAATCAAGGCCATCTATCTTGGATTCCTTTGTCTCCTCTAATCCATACCTCAGTGGATAGAGTGATGGGTCTGGAGTCAGAAAGAACTGAGTTCAAATCTGGCTGTAGACACTAATAGCTGTGTGATCCTGGGCACTTAATTTTTGTCTGCCTCTGTTTCCTCTACTGTAAATATGGGGATAATAATAGCCCTTACCTCCTAGAGTTTTTGTGAGGCTCAGATGAAGTAATATTTGTAGCATAGTGCCAAATATATAGTATGCATTTAATAAATGCTTGTTCCCTTCCCTTTCCCAACCCCATTTCCTTCTCTGAGGAAGAGATGACCCTTCTTGTCAGCTATTGCTACTTTGATCCTACCCTCTCCTGCTTTTCTGGAATCTTTCTCAGCAATCATCCCATCCCATCCTGCATCATCTTCTGCATTTCTCTTTCTGCTCTTTCCTTACTTCCCACAAGTATCCTCAGCTCTTCTCCCATATTTGCCATCCTTGCCTCAGCTCTTTTTCCATCCTTGCTCAACCTTGCCACCCCCTTTCACAGCCATATTCCTAGAAAAGCTGTCTACTTCTACCAACTCTGATTCTTCACTATTCATTTTCACCCTTTATAATTAGGGCTCTGTTCTGAAACTGTTCTCTCCAAGGTCACCAATGATCTTTTAATTGCCAGGGCCGAAAGTCCTTTTCTCAGCACACATCATTCCTGACCTCTGCAACTTTTGATACCACTGACCAAACTCTACTCCTTGATCAACTCTATCCTCTTGATGTCAGTGATACTGCTCCCTTCTGCTTCACTTACCTATCTAACCACTCTTTTTAGTATCCTGACTTATTATCAATTTCTTCTTCCCTTAGTCTGACTGGCTTTAAGCTTCTTTCTGGGACCCTTTTCTCACTCTATCTTCTTTCCCTTAGTGATTACATCAGCTTTAATGAGTTCAGTTATAATCACTACACAAATGACTTTCGAATTATAAATATAGCCCTATTTTTTTCTTTTTTCTTCAAGCCCAGTATTGCCAACTGCCTGCTGGATATATCTATTTGAATATCCCACCAGCATTTCAAATATGCCCCCAAATAATCTATCAACTTCCCCCTTAATTTTAATTAATCAACCTTCCCCTAAATTTCTGTTGATGGTACAGCCACTCTCCCAGTCATCCGGGATCAAATAAAGTAATACTTGTGAAATGCTTAGCACAGTGCTTGGGTGCTTAATAAATGATTGTTTTCTTCCTTTCCCTCCCTTTTTCTCCTCTCCCCTTCTCTCCCCCTTTCCCTTGGAGTCATCTTCTCTTGGAGTCATCCCTCACTCTCTCAGCCAAACAATGGTCAAGTTCTGTTAACTTTATTTCCACAACATTCTTAACACCTACACTCCTTTCTTCTCTCCCATGGCTCTTTCCCTAGTTCAGCCCTATTCATTTCCTGACTAGACTATTTTAATAGCTTTCTAACTCATCTACCTGCCTCCAATCTCTCCCTGCTACAATGCATCTTTTATATTGGCCACTTCCAAAGTAATCTTCATAAGACACAGGTCTGTCACCCCCTTGTTCACAATCCTTCAGTGATTCTCTACTGCCTTTAGAATAAAACAGTCAATCAACAAGCATTTATTAATTGCCTGATGTGCCAGGCAAAGTGCTAAGCCCTAGACACTGTGTGTGATGTTTAAGGCTCTCTGTGGTATGGCTCTAACTTTATTTTCCAGCTTCATCTCACATTACTCTTCTGCGTGAACTCTACTTATCAGTCAAACTGGACAACTAGCTGTTCTCTGAACTTGTCATTCCATCTCTGACTCTGTGCAGTTACGAAAGCTGTTTCCCATGCCTGGAATGCACTCCCTTCCCATTGCAGTCACTATGAGACCTTATCTTCCTTTAAGAATCATCTCAGGTGTCTCCTCCTTATGAAACCTTCTTCCTCCCCAGTTGTTACTTCTCTTTTCCTCTCAAATTACCTTGTATGTCCTTGTCTGTGGATATGTTGCACCCCCAGTTGTTACTTCTCTTTTCCTTCTCAAATTACTCTATATTTCCATAGATCCCTCTCTGTCTCTCTCTCTGTCTCTGTCTCTCTCTCTGTCTCTGTCTCTCTCTCCATCCCTCCCTCTCCCTTCTCTTTCTCTCTCTCTCCCTTTCTCCCTCTCTCTCTTCACACACACACACACACACACACACACACACACACACACACACACAATGTTCCACTCCTTCCTAATAGAGTGTAATCTCCTTGAGTGTACTATTTTTGTCTTTGTATCCCCAGCACCTAACATAGCATCTTGCACACAGTCAGCTTTTAATAAATATTTGATTGATTTGAAAATGCTGATGGGACATGGGAAAGGAAGCCATAATTTCTTGCTTAGGGTGGATGGGGGTAGGAAGGGAAACTAGAGAAGGCTTCATAGCTGCAGTGATGTTAGAGCTAGGCTGGGTCTTAAAAGGTTAGTAGGATTTTAACGCATATTGATGGGTTGGGAGGGCATTTCAGATGGAGAATTAGAATTAGCAAAGGCATAGAGGTATGTTAGAGAATAAGTATGTTCAAGGGATGATGAGTACTCGGGTGTACAATCCTCTTTTTGTGTTCTATTGTGTACATAGAAATGCCCATTTTATTTGGCGTTTGTTTAGTTTGAAATAAAAACACATTAAAAAGAAAAGAAAAGAAGAATAAAAATGATGAGTAATCAATTTGGCTGGAACTTAGGGTGTATGTAGAGGGGATTGAGAAATAGAGTTGGAAAAGCAGATTAGTACTAAATTATAAAGGGTCTTAAGTTTGAGTTTTTGCAATGGGAGTCACTAAAGACTTCAGAAAGGGAGTGATGTGATTAGAAATCTACTTCAGGAAGATTAATCTCACCACAGTGTATTCAGGGAACAAAGGGAGTGGAGGCAGAATGACAAATCAGGACAAGCTATTGAACAGGTAATAAGGGCCTGCCCTACTAGGAGTAGTAGCAGTAGAAAAAAATGAGGGAAATATTATGGAGTTAGAAGTAACAGGGCAGTACAGACTACCAATGCCCTCTTCATTTTGCTCAGTTCATGGAGGTATTTGGGGCTTGTTTCTTTAGGAGCTGAGAGGCCGGTAGAGGAGAGTGCTGGGTTCCATGATGGCTATTGTGGCCAAGGATCCCCTGGGAACTTTGCTGGCCTCTGTTCGCCCTGCGCTACTGCAGTCCCAAAGTTCCCTGACAGCAGTAAAAATTCATAGTCATTGATTTTGTAATTAACAGTTTATCAATGCCATCAATACAGACTTGCTGATGGATTGCAAAGAAATTAATCCTGCAAAGTTTTGTTTTTTTTTAAGACAGCTGCCAATTTCATTCTCCTTTATGGGGGTGGGGTGAGGGAGTGAGGATGGGGAAAAGAAAGGTAGACAGCAGTTGGGAATCTAGGGGATGAGATAATGGTTCTGTACGGCCACTTGCTGGCACTGTTCCAAATAGCCTCTGGTCAGGTGCAATGGAGATCTCTTTATAACCTGCTAAGAGAGCAAGAATGGAAGGATGTACTCGACCTAACATATGACAAAGGCTGACCCCTCACTGGTTGCTGAACAACATTCCCTCGACCTACACTTTTCTAGCAAGGACAATGGGGCCAGTAACACTCAACCTAGAAAACGGCACCATTACCGTGCCAGATAAATCATAGATTCTGCCACCCCTCAGAAAACAAGACAATAATCTAAGGATACAAGGATAAGGATAAGAATCTAAGGATATATATCATGTGATTCTTCTAACCAACCCTCTCCCTAAAGTCAGAGGCAGAAGTTTAGGCTAATAATAGACTTCTGGGTTAGAGCGGCGTCTTGGTAAGTCATGCAGAATCACACAGAACCTCAGAGTAGGAAGGGACTCCCAGGGGTCATCTAGTTTAACTCATACCTGAAAAAAACTTGATTCTGTTTCTCTCTACAACATACCTGAGCAATGGTCATCCAGCCTTTGATGAAAAGTTTCAAATGGCAAGGGTGGCGGTGGTGGAGGGGAGACCCACTACTTCCTGAGGCAGCTTATTCCACTTTGGGGTACCTCTAATTCCTAGAAGGTGTCTCCTTCCACCAAACCTAAATCTTCCTCCCTGCAGCTATGACCCATTGTTTCTAGTTCCTCCTTCTGTAGCCAAAAAGGTCATATCTAATCCCTCTTCCCCACAACAGCCCTTCAAATAGTTGAAGACAGAGATCATTCCCACTTCAGTCTTTTCTTCTCTGGGCTAGATATTTCCAGTTCTTTCAACTGATTTTCCTGTGTCATGAACCCAAGGTACTTTACCCTTTATCTGTCCTTCTCTGAATATGGTCCAGTTCATATAATCTTTGGTCATATTTGAGTTTGAATCTAACCAGAAATTGTTCCTTATTTTTTTTTCTTTTTTAGAAACCTCAAAAGGAGGGGGGAATTCTTCTGGCTTTCCTTTCCCTTCCCTTATTCCAATAATTCAACTTCAGGAAGTTCCAATGTCACCTTCTTTGGGACCCACAGTTTAAGAAGTGCTGATGGGGCCACAAGTGGAAAAAGTTTAAGAAGCCCTGCAGTACATTTGTGCCCCTGGGTGGGGGTGAGAAGATGGAGATATTGGGGTATCCATTGATTCATTCATTCATTCAATAAATATTATTAGGTGCCCACTACATGGGAGGCCCTTTATTCAATGCTGTGGAGAATACAGAGATGAACAAGATACCATTTCCCTCCTAAGAAACTTACCATCTAGTGGATTTTTGAAGGGCAGAAGCCTAGGATGTTAGTTTCACAAGATTATTTCATCAGAAACTGAAGTACATATTTTGAAAATCTACATGTTTACAGCACAATTCTCCCATATCACAGCATGAGATATGACCAGTTATGAATTTTAAAAATGGAAATTTCTATATTTCAAAAAGAAAAGCTCAAATATTCCTGCCTGACTATTTTTACCCTCTTAACTAAAAAGGTTTTCTACTGTCTCACTGTGGTACCTCTCCAGGCCTAAGCCTAGGCCTAAGTCTCTCTCAGACTCTGGGGAACACTAGTACAGTCATGAAGTAAGGCAAAATGAAGGCTCTATAGGGTCAAGGAAGGAGAAACAACATGCTGGGCCATCAGTGTTTCCTTCCTCCAAAGTTTAGCTCAGCCCATGGGCCAGGCTGTCCAGGTAGCATCACCCTACCCACAGGTTTCTCTGCCACAATAATGTTTGTAAAGCACTTAGCGCAGTGCCTGGCACATAGTAGGTGCTTCACAAATGTTTGTTTCCTTCTTTCCTTCCACAAGCCCAGATAATTCAAAACACCCAAGAATTCCAATACCAGCTACAGTTGGCTTTGATCAATGTTTTATGAAATACTTTGGCAAAAGCCTTTGCCTGCCTCATTTTGCCTTGCCAGGGTATTCTGCTCCCTGTCAAGTACCAGAGGGACATCACAGAGAGTCATTCTGATTCTAGTTTCCTTCACCTTCAGTGAGCTTCTTGCCTCCCACATCACTTCTTATATGTGTGTGTGTGTGTGTGTGTGTGTGTGTGCAGATAGATATATGCATATGTATATTTATCTGTATGTAACATGCCTGTATACATATTGATATATATTTTATATATCTACATGCTATTTCTTCCCATAGAATGTAAGGACCTTGAGGAAGCTTACATTGCATTATTTCATTTTAGTCTTTATATTTCTAGACCCTAGAACTGTGCCTTAGACATGGTAGGTCTTATTAAATGTTTACTGATTGATTGAAGTCCTAATGAACTCCTAAGCATGTTCTGATCTAATATGATTATTATTGTATTATTACATATTATATGACATGTATTTATAATATATGCTATTTATAATAACATGTAATATAACATAATGTATATATTATTATAATATATGATAATACAGTATATGTTTATAATATAACATATAATATATTGCATATTTATAATATATAACATAATTCATTATGTATTATAATATATTTGTAATATGTATGCAATATAACATAACAGAGAACACATCCTTGGGAATTCATTAGCACCTCAATCAGTTATAATAATAATAGCTAGCTTTTATATAGTACTTTAAGGTTAGCAAAGCACTTTACAAATATCTCATTTTATCATAACAACTCTGGGAGGTGGATGCTATTATTATCCCCATCTTACAGATGAGGAAACTGAGGCAGATAATGATTAAGTGGCTTGCCTAGGTCCACACAAGTAGTTTCTGGGGCTGGATTTGATGTTAGATGTTCCTGACTCCAGGTCCAGAGCTCTATCCACTGCACCACCTAGCTGCCTCAAGAGGGTTGAGATATAGTGGTAAAAGGTAGAGAGAAGCAAAGCCAGTGTCATTCATAAAGCATACACAAAGCAGCACAGGCATTTATTAATTTCTTACTACATGTACAGAACTCTACTAAGAACTGGAGATACAAAGACAAACTTCCTAAAAGTTCCTAAATTCTAAGAGCTTGCCTACATTCTGTGGAGGGGACACAGAGGTATCAAATGTCAGTTCTTCCTGTGCCTTCCTTAATGAGTAATTGAGTGAATGACTTTGGTGGTGGAAGACAAAGGGAATGTAGGTACAGTTATCTCTTCCATATCGTGGGGGTTAGGGGCAAGGCACCCCCATAAACTGGAAAATCTGCAAATTTTTGGCCCTCCCTTTGTACCAGAGAAGTCTGAATTATTCTGGTATTAAAAGATAAAATATGTTGATATTTTACAATACTATACATATATTTTATGCATTTCTGAGTTTCTCAACTTTTTCTGTGTTGTCTGCTGGCCTTTGCGTGTCACCTGCAGCTTCCACAAAACTCCCCCAAGATTCCCATTTAATTTCTTATGCCTCAATACATTGAAACCATGATGGGGAGAGTCGTGATGTGGAATGGATAATTTTAATTGGAGCTAAACCTATATGAGCAGCTATGGGAATTTTATAGCTCTATGCTCAGGGGAATAGTAGGACTTTAATAAAAGAGGTAGGGTGGTATAATAAGAAGATAATTGAATTAGGCATCAGGCAATCTGGTGTCTGATTTAACATAAGCTAGCTGTATGACCTTGGCCAAGTAATTTCCTCTCTCTACCAGGCCTCAGCCTGTAGTAGGAAGAGTTCAGAATAAGTGACCTCTAAAAAAGTTCTCTCTTCCAGCTCAAACAGCCTACGATACTAAGGTTTCTTCAGGCTCAAATATCTTATTACATACCTAAGGTCTCTTCCAGTTCAAATATCCTGTGATTCTAATATTTATTTACAGGGGAGTCCCCCCCCCCTTCCGTTAGTCATCACAATCTTGCTTCCCAGCCTTTCTTTTCTTCACAGATTCCATGCATATAGAAGACATGGACGCCGTGCAAAAGCTTCAAGACCTGCTCCATGAGGCCCTTCAGGACTACGAGCTGAGCCAGCGCCACGAGGAGCCTCGAAGGGCAGGCAAGCTGCTGCTGACCTTGCCCCTGCTACGGCAGACGGCAGCCAAGGCCGTCCAGCACTTCTACAGCATAAAACTGCAGGGCAAGGTGCCCATGCACAAACTCTTCCTAGAAATGCTGGAGGCAAAGGTCTGACGGCCCTGGCGCCCACTCCTAGCAAACACACAGACTCCAGCCCACAGACAGACAAAGGGAGGGAGGGAAAAGTCAACCCCGCGGCCACTGGCTTTAACCTTCCACTCATTTATTGTGGCTAAGAGCAAAACCGGAAGAAGTCATTTACCATCCGTCCATCTGTCTGTATGCCGAATCACATGTACAATGGGGAGTGGGGATGTGGGGGGTGGGAGGGGGCGGGCTGGGGTGGAAGAGGGGCTGTTCAGTTCATTTGTGATCTGGTTTTTTGGGTTTTTTTTTTTTTTTTGGTTGTGCTTCTTACTTCTTGGTGGGCAGCCCGAAGGCCCCTGTCAAGGCCAATTCCTGGGAGGAGATAGGAGATCCCTAGAGGAAGCATTGAAGCTAGCAAGCACCTCCAATCAGAAGGCAGCACTTACACTGCCCAATTCCTACCCCCCTCGTCCTGTCCTTCCATTGCCCGAGGAGGTACCAGTTATGAGATGAGGGTGGGCAGACAGAAAGACAAGAATTTTGGGGAAAATTGTCCGGGAGGATTGAGGCAGGGGGAGCAGGGTCCAGAGGAATTTCTTGTTCCCCCTTCCAAAGAGAGCAGGAGATTTTATCCAATCAGGGACCTCTGTATTGTCAGTGGGGGCAGTGTCAGGAGGGTCAGACCTCCACGAGAGATGCTCATAGGACATTGGTCTTCTAACTTCTTTGGGCTTCTAGTCCTTTTTTTCACCTCAGTTCCAGGCCGCCAACTCTTCTCACCCACCTAGCATCACAACTCTTTGCTGGAAGGAAAGGCTAGAAGTCACATGCTTGTACACCCAGTTAGGCTCACCCAGAGTTCAATACCAGAACCCCCATTGACGAAGGAATCACAGCCAATACTAATGTGCTCTCTAGTTTATCTCTGTCCTTCCAGGTGATTCCCTCCACAAGAACCAAGTACCTTCCTAACTTCCTTTCCCAATATATAATTTCCTTCTCTCTTTCTCCAGGATTTCTCCTTGGCTGCAAACAGTCTCACCTCAGCTTGCTTGGCTGGGGTGGTTATCCAGCTAAGATGACATGAGCATCACAGAAACCAAGGGGAACATTTAAAAATATGAAAAACCAACTGGTATATGGGGGAGGGAAGCAGGGAATCTAAATAGAAAGGAGAGTTCTAGATAGGAATGCAAAGCCCAGAAAATGTGTTCAAGCATCTAGCCCCTGCATCTAGAACTTGCTCCAGATTAGTTTTAAGGCCTGATGGGGAAAGGGGTCTGAATTATGGTGGGTCTAGGTGGCAAGGAAGAGGAGTTTGCTCTAGTCTAGAGGTACTCAGAGTTCTGGGTCTAATTTGTAAACCCTCTGAAATGCTAGGTTGAGTCTCTCCTGGAAAGATTTATATCACTTGAGAGAATGGGGATCATAAGAGTCCCAGTTCACACCAGGGTCTTTCATCCTTTCTTTTGCTCCTCAGGCCATTAGGGACAAAAAAAAAGAGCCGCTAAGGGGGCCCCCTTGAGAACACTCATTCAATTACTAGTGACTAAGGGGTTAATAATCTAGCTGGAAGAGAAGCATGATATTTGGACAGTCTACCTTCTGCCTCTTGGAGTCAGCCTCCCTGGTTTCTGCCCCTTATCTTCTCTCTTCACCACCATTCACCAACCCCACCCACAGCCCTCGAGGGAGAGGGAAGACAGAGAAAGACAGCACTGAAGCTAGTTTGTCTGGGTCCTGGCCAGCTGGTCTGGTCACAGATTTTGGTAGCTGGGAGTAAAAGAGTGAAAGTCACTGGTGGTCTGTCTCTGAATATCCCACAGTAGCTCAGGGAGATAGCTAACTGTGACCCTGTTCCACTCATGCCCCAAAGAGAATCATCTGAAAGATTTTAAAAAGAGGCATTTAATTCAATAGAGTCAGCGTGCTGAAAGGGACAGAACTCTTAGCTTGGAGTCAGAAAATCCTGGGTCCAAATCCTGGCTCTCACTTACTAGTTTCCTTGGCCTTAGACAAGTTGTTTATCCTCTATGAGCTTCAGGCAGCTCCATAGGGTTTATCTACTAGGTTTTTAGCCAGATCTCACATTGAGAATTTCCAGTTCAATGAAATCATAGGTCATTTATGTATTTAATTCATACCCACAGACTCAACTGCCCACGCGGAGTGAGAAAATGTCTGAAACATTGTCAGAAAGCAAAGCCCAAGGTTGCTTTCCTCATTCCAAGCTACACAGCCCTTTCCCCCCCCATCTCACTCCCAGCATCCGTCTTGATCCAACAGAAGAAATGCACTTTCGACCACAGAGAATCTGTCACTCTCCACCCTGGGTTAAAAAAAAAAGCCAGATGTGTCTGTGACCTCTGGGTTGTGTCTCTGGCTGGGAAGCCAGTGTGGCATCACCTGATAAAAGAATAAGAAGCTGTTGGACTCCCTCAGCCATTCCTTCAGGACCTCTTCTATGGTTTCCTTTGCCCTCGGGCTCAGTCCTAGGAGGGACAGTGCTTGGGTCCAGGCCACACAGCTTGTTTATGTCATATCAGTGGTATATATAAGGTATATCATGAACCTTTGAGGTTGGGGAGGGTGGATAAAGGGTGCTCTGAGGTCCCCTGAAGACTCCCTTGGGCATGGAGGGGCGAGCTGAGGTTGTACCTGTAAAACCTATTGGCTCTCTTGAGTCCCTCTGATTGGGTAACACAAAAGCCCTCCGGAATTAAGTAGTCCTAGAAGTGGGGGGTGGGGATTTGGGGAAGTCCTCTAAGGCCTTGAGTACATATCACCCCTGAACCATTATGGGGGAGCTTCCAATCAAAACCAGATCCATATATCTTTGCAACCAGTTAAGGGGACCAATTGATAAGGAATTCAGTTCTGCCTGGTCATTTCTGAAAAAAAAAAAAAGTCCCTTCTCTCATGATCTCACAGAAGTCCTACATGTGCTCAATGAAGGAAGAAGGAAATTAGGGGAGACATTTGTAACTTAATGTGAAAACATCTTCTAAGGCAAGGCACAGGGTTTCCCTGCTGAGTTGGCCAAAGGGAACAAAGAAAAAAACACTATTCCAAACACTTGTATAGGAACCAATACTAGGCATCCCCACACTTCCACCCCTACTAATCAACCCTCTGTCCATTATGAGGGCTTGGGCACCCTATTCTCACTTGACAGATATTACCTGAGTCACATTACATGGCAAGGACAGAAATGGACAAGGAAATCAAGCATCCTCCTAGCCCCACCACTACAAACCACACATTCCTTCGACCCTGATCCTGAATAATTTTTCAGTAGGAAGCAGTTACAAAAACTTCTCCCCTTCAACACACCAACCCTGTCTCTTCACCTCAACAGACTCCAACTCTGTCCTACCCCCAACAGGGCTTCTGGTATTCATTGAGGCCTGACCTCATTGTAGGAAACCAGAATGTCTGACAGACTGGCTTGATAGGTGAGTTGGCTGCAGCAACATAGTGACTGTTAGTACTTTGTGTTCACATAGACTATTTCATCCAAAAACCACAAGATAATTTCACCAGCAAGCAATAGGCTCCCTACGGTTTGTCTGTAGGGAAACTGAGCTTGGGGAGACAAAAAAGGAGTTGCTAGTGTCATACTGCAAGTCAGTGGAAGCAACGGGACCCAAACCAGTACATCGCTCTTCACTCCCAGTCACAATTACTCACTCATTGACCCTCATCTATATAGTCATAAGCATTCAAAGCAATAGCTCTCTCTTTCTCTCAGCCACAAAGCTGGGATCTGGCCATTATAACTAAGAAACCAAACCTAGTATAAAAATATCCCACAAGATACATCCTTATAGTTCCCATGCTCTGTAGAGTTTGAAATGAAGAAATTTCACAGAGGACAAATTGAGATCAGTTTTATGGGAATTACTCTGTGATTTCTGACAGAGAGCTCGTAGGGAAAACTAGAGGATGGTTGGGGAGATGGTCCCCACTTCATCAGCAGTGAAAATTAGGTCATGAGTCTTCCTTATGGTGACACTTCCAGCACCCCCAACAAAGCACCCCTCAGTCAACCTAGTGTAAAGAACAACTCTGCCCCCAGAGGTTCAGAAATAATTCCTGGTATCTGCTGCTGATCTATTCTGGGGAGAGGCATCCTCGGCTGCTGGTGCTATGGGAGTCAACTCAGTTCAGGTTAGAAAATACCATGGGGGATGGACCTTCCAGACAGAACTATATTGTGTCCCATTCTTGGATGCAGGGAGGACATTGCATCTCGGAATCTCAATGGTATCACTGTCCCAAACAAGATGACCACGGAACCCATGCTTCTGTGCCACCTCCCTCTTTTTTCATTACTGCTGGGGAGAAGGAGGGATCAAAAGGTTCTCCCTCTTAAATATATTCAGAACTTGCCCAGAAACCAAAAGTTATAACTGGCAATGGGAAAACTTTTGGTAAATGGTTGGCTGATCCATCTCTAATGGAAGAAGTTGGAGTGGTTCCACTTTCTGTAGCCTTTGCCTGATCCCCTAGGCTGGCTCATATGTTAGAGGTGGGGATCAGGGGGTGGGGATGATGTATTGGATGCCCAATGGAATCTGAAGAGATGGAAAGGTGGGAAGAGAGGCTCAGGTGCACTGCCATACCCCACCCCCAAAAACACTTAGCCTAAAGGTTATACAAAAACAGCTGCTCCTGAAAAATTCTGTAAAGAAGAAATACACACTCTAATCAATTGTATTCTTGTGGTACAGGTCATTTTGAACAAACCAAGAAATAAAATGTAAAAATCCAACCCTGGAGAAAGTAGTATTTGCTGGGCTTTCTTGAATCCTCTCTCCTCCCAGAGGAACCTTAGAGATATAGGGTTTTATTATTATTTGTGTTCACTTTCCTGGCCCTGAGAGGCTCTCCTAGCTTCCACACACTGCCCTTTGTGGCCAAACCTCACAACAGAGGGAGGGAGATGTAAGAATAAGATGTGAGGATCATCCCTTGGAGTACAGCAAAGCATTCAGTCCCAGACCAGGTGTCACCAGGCCATGCTA